GACGTTGGCAACAACAGCATAGAGGATACATTTCCTCATTGGTTGGAATCTCTACCAGAGCTTCAAGTGCTTGTCTTAAGGTCCAACAAGTTCCACGGTTTTGTGCAGAGCACCAAAGAAAGTCCATCTTTTCCCAAGTTGCGAGTTTTGGACCTCTCCAGCAATTATTTTGTTGGTGCTTTGCCTGTTCGGTACATTGAAAATTTTAATGCGATGATGGACCCTCATAAAGATGGTGGTTCCCCTAAATACATGATGGTGTCGACAGGAGCCGATTCTTATCAGTATTCACTAGTTGTGACATGGAAGGGATTCGACTATGAGCTGCAGGGAATTTTGACCGTATTCAGTAGTATTCATCTCTCAAATAACAAGTTTGAGGGAGAAATTCCAGATGTTATTGGAAAGCTTAGTTCTCTCAAAGGGCTTAATCTTTCTCATAACAACCTTACTGGTCAGATCCCACCGTCACTAGGGAATTTAACGAATCTGGAATGGTTGGATCTCTCTTCCAACGAGCTGGTGGGGAAAATTCCTGATGAATTGGTATCTTTGACACAACTCTCTGTATTGAATCTTTCAAATAATCATCTTGTCGGACGCATACCACAGGGCAATCAGTTCAACACCTTTGGAAATGGTTCTTATGAAGGAAACCTTGAACTGTGTGGAATCCCATTGTCAAAATCTTGTGGTGGAATTGGGACACCGCCGAGCTCCTTCCAAGAAAAAGATGAGTTGTGGAGATTTGAATGGAGAGTTGTGGTGTTAGGCTATGGATGTGGAGTTGTTTTTGGTCTGCTGATGGGATATCTTGTCTTCCGAACAGGAAAACCAAAATGGTTTGTGTCTTTGTTTGATGGCCGACCAAGTCAAAGCGGAAGGAAGATGAGGAAAGCCAGAAGACTTGTTCAAAGAAGAAGCTAGTTGCAGAGTTGATGTTTTGGAGCTTCTGATTTAATGTTTCCTGAATAAGTGCTTTTCGGTTTGAAGTTCTTGTTATAGCTGGCATTGGCTTGTCTAAAATTGTCAGCCTTCTCATCTTTATTATGCTTTGTAATTTTGTCTTTCTTTATTGTAAAATATATTGAGAAAGTGTTTTACAATCTGGGCAGCAGACTTAAAATATATTTGAAGGTTTAAGCTGTTAATCTTTCTTAGTTGTATATGCATGTCCAATTAATCTACTTCCTTTAAGCCGGTATTAATGTTGTCTTATTTGGTTTAGATGATGCTGGTTTCTACTGTGTTTATATGGTTCATATTAACTTATAGAAGAACAGATTTTTTTTTTTTTTTTGAATATCACCAAGCCGTCAAGAAACTTTGATCTCATTGGTGATTCGATGCTAAATTGTGTCAGGTTTGTGAGCTGAATCGTTGGTTAGTGTTCTTTCCCTGTTATCCACAAGCTGCTGCATCTTTATGGTGTTAAGATACTGCTTTATTTCATTATTTTTTGCACTTTTAAGATTTCTGACCTAGTTCCCTGTATTTGTCTCAGAGCCATTTTATGGTACAATTTGCTTATACAATAGGGAGAGAAGAGAAAAATTGTCAGAAGATTTCTATTTTAGCATTCTACCAACTGAAATGCAGGATGTAAGCCTTAAAACTAATTTAGCATTAAATTCTTTGGTGCTTTGGTTTTTCACATTGATGACTTAAAAATCCACTCTTTCTCATTTACCTGGACAGACTAATAAAGTATCTTCAAAACCTCGTGTACTTTTCTATTTAGATGCTCTGTCAGCATCTATGTGTCTACTAATCCAATTAGAGAAGCCTGCAACAGAAGAAGGGGGAGTGACTCCTTCTGTTTATTCATGTAAAGAACCTGTATGTATGAAGAACTTATATGTTTCCATCTTGTTCATCTTCAATCTGACCTCTGATTAAATGTGACAAAATTTATCTTTTGTTGGCTTGCTTGTTACCTGGCAGCAAGATTTTGACCTGTTGGCTTGGTTGTTATCTCGCGGCAAGAATTTTAACTATCGCCCCCTCATCATCTGTCTTTCAATTGGTTTTTACTGTAGTTCTTACTGTGGAAAATAATGGCTCTGCATCTGCTAGATAAGTTAGCTAATCATTGGCATTGCAATTAATGCTTGATATTTTAGTTTTTGGGCCAGGGTGATTAACC